TTTTTTTGCTTTTCCTCAGTCTTTGATCCTTAGAATTTTAAGCTATGACGCTAGCTACTGGTTATTTACATGACAAAGGAGCACAGCGGCCATCTGGTGAAGTGGAAATTAACTACTCTCTTTTAAAAATGTTTGTTCTACCCTAGTTTCTTTTTAGCTTGTAGGGGGGAAAAAAGCTAGAAAGAAAAACGTGTGTGGTATTTTATTCTGTCTCTGTCCCTCATTTAGTCGCTCGTCTTTTTTCATCCCCTATCACTTGCTTTGTGTCGTGCAGGTGATAACACAAAACTTTCAGGGAATCTTCAAAGAGCTGGCAGCGGCTAACAAAAAAGATCAGAGAGAAAAGAGGAGGCGAAGCGAGCGATATGGGCGGCTGACTCAGACTGTGATAAACATCTACTGCAGGTGTGAAGGAAAAAGATGGCAATAAAAGCCTGACAGGTGGAGAAGGAAATCGCTGTCAGCTCATGTCTAACATGTTCCAGTAAACTTGTCAATATTCTGTTGATCTGTACACCCAGGTATTCTGGGGACTTATAAATCAAAGTTTAATTTATATGTATCAGAAACATTTTATTTAATAAAAATGCAGGTAGAGCAGTAACATGTATATCTACACTAAAGTTATTTCAAATCCTGCCTGTACAGCGAAGCAAAAAATAAGTTAGGCATAAAAGTAAGTTAAAGATGTACAAAATTAAAGTCAGTACTGTGGTAAGTTTGTTCAGCCTGACCCCTTATATCAGTAGGTATGGTAACATAATTACCCTGTGTTATTTTAAGAAAGAAATCTCTAAATTAATTACACTTGTGTAAAACTGATGCGAAAATAAAACCAAAATCTTACACTGCAAAACTGCGTCTTTAAACAGAAAGGCATGTTTGTTGATGTTTGTGTATTTGTGTGTGTTTGCACACAGATTCAGCACCTGGAGCAACAATGGATTTGCACAGCTGTGTGTTTGCAAGGCAGAGCTGAGCTGCAGCAGGACATCAGCGTCTGTTATTAAGGTCGCAGTCAGCTCCGTCTGAGTTCACAGGAATAATACCAGGTCGCTTTCCTGCTCCACTTTTAATGAACAGTTGTGCTGGAAGACTGGTGGACGTATAATCGCACATTTCATGGATGTTGTAATAAGACGCGAACCCAAAATAACATTTCAAGACCAGCGGCATGAGCTCACATTTAGCATGACTGCATTATGAACCTAGATAAGTAGCATACAGGTAGAATGCTTCGAAAGTCATTACATCAACCGATATAAAAGGGTTCAACACTGCACGTGGATGTAATTACAGGACCAGTTGTGTCAAAATTGATGAATAGCAACAACAGAACAATTTTCTTGTTACTCATGCAGTTGTATAAACTCAGCACATGGACTTAGCTGTAAAAGAACACCTGCTTGACCTTCAAAAGCTGTCGCCATCTGTCTTAAATCTTCTCCGTTGGGTTGAATTGTGTTCAGTTCAATCCTTTATTTTTCTTCAGGTGGGCCGTATTCTGCGATGTGCTTCATGTTTAGCAGGAGGTGTCAGCAGTTTAATTCAGTCCCATGAAAAGCCAGAGGGCTTGAGAGGAAGCAGCTGCTGAGAAATGAACATCACTTGGAGGAACAAGGCTACTTAAGTTTTACTTCCCCCATAGGGCTGTTCCATTAGCACCACAGATAGATTTATGAGTCTCTTGACATTCTTACTCTTTGTTTCATCTTTAGGAGGGAAAGTGAAAAAAAGCAAAATTCAAGTTCAAGCACCTTTAGTGTCTAATGTTAATGATCTTGTCTCCTGCATCACAACTTGGGTTTTCCTTGTTTAGGTTGGGTAATGATCCTGTTTTCTTGGTGAAAAAAAGCCCCATTAACATTCCAATTACATTTCCCCTGTCACGATAACACGGTACACATTGTACTTTGGCAAGATTATGACCTGGCAACAGATCACTCAGAATCATTTTGAGAGGTGAGACTGAAGAGGATTCAATTATTTTGATGATGTTTCATTATACTTTGTTTAGCTGCCTTTCCAAACAGGCGCTTTGTGTGTTCTTTCATTGGGGGAAAATTGCTGTGCTTTCTGGGTAACATGACCAGCCTTGGAACAAGATAGCACTGATCACTGTCACTTTGTTAACAGCACAAGCATCCCCCACACCAGTCACTAGCACAAAGCTTATGTAAGGCATTTGATGTTGGTGTGCTTGAGCTGCGTCTGTGTGTCAGTGGGTTCAGTGTTTTCATATGCATGTGCACAGTATGTGTGTTTAATTTTCCATGTAGTCACTGCCCTTAAGTCTGGGACTTACCGACGGGTCTGGACCTGCTCTCCTCATTCCCAATTCAGCCTCATGGGCTGACAATAATCCCTTGAGTACAGAGTGAGAGGGGTGGGGTTGGGACGGTGGGGGTGTGGTGTACAGAGATAGCATAAAAACTGGAAAGGCATCCATCCCTTCAGGTTAAGACAGTGCAACTAAAGAAACTGTACGTCCGAGCATTCTTTGCCAGTGGTGAAGCCAAATAGGACTTGTTGCTGCTGTTCGTCAGTCATCCCGTAATTGCCCTGCAGTTGGCCTAAAATAGTCCACATGGTGCCATAATCCAAGCTTTTCCATTGGCCGATCTGTTCCCCGACACTGGAAAGTCATTGTACAAGTACAAGTAGTGTTTTAAAAAAACTGATTGTGAAAGTCATCAAGAAAGAGAAGTAGTCACACACTGAAGTGTAGAAGGAAAAGGAGGTGCAAGGGGTGGGGCCCCAGTCTGTCAAGTACGGCAACGGCCCTGAACTTCAAATCACTCTTAGTTTCAAATTGAAGTCAACTAGCGTTACATTTTCATCTTATTTTTACCTAACATGACTGTACTCTAAAAATGTTTTAGCCACGTCTAACAACACGACTCTTTTGAACTGTTTTTGTGATGACAAAGACAAGATGATGAAATGCACGTCTACATCACTTTAGGTGTGTTTCAGATTATGCTTTCGTCAAGTCGGCTTACAGTTAAAACAGACGCATACATGCACTGACAAGTGCAACGCAAACCCACACACGCACACCTAGTCAAGGCAACTCTCTGCCAAGTGGAAACATCTCCTGTGGTTTATTTTACTCATAAAATCTTCCACCATCACAACATAATTTAACATGTTTATTTCTTCTTTTTTTTTTTTGAATATTTACAAATAGACATTTCAAAAGTAGGTGCACCAGCAAAACATAGAAAGCTGAAATAATGTGTTGGTTTTATTCCTAATGCGTGTCATAGAAGCCAGACCAGTTCTTGAGTTCGAAAGAAAAAACTTCCTTGTGAAACGTCCTGAAATTAAAATAATTTACCATGATTTTAAAACAAAATAAAATAAAACAATAAGTATTAATAGCCTTACTCATATCAGCACTACCACCATGTGTCCATTAATAGAGAACACGTACGGCGGTAAGTCCCCAGAGGGATTAAAAACATGATGTCATCACTCTTACACAGCTGATAGTGCCTCTGGCTGAAAAACCAGTGGGGCTAAAGGACAATCTGACATTCAGTTATGAACATTATGAACAGAAACATACTGATAAAATGCATATTAGAAGTCACGTGGGTTGAAAAAAGAAAATAAAACTAATGGACGGTTCTTGTAAAATGAAAGTCCAGCCTTTCAGTCAAAAGGGATTTTCCCCAGGTTGGACTCTCTCTGTGTCTTTTTCTGTCCTTTATGATGTAGCCATGCAAAAAACACCTACAGCCTTATCTTTGAGGAAAACCCCAACATCCCTGGTTTTCCATCTGTAATTTAGCACCTCTCACCAGGACCTGTTTTGGACGATGATGTGGCCATCTGAAATGTCCCACGTTTTCATCCCTGAATATCGTTATTCTTCCATGAACGTTCATTATTGTCCTCGTGCTTTTTTGTCCAAATTTTATTGTCTCACACACTTCTTTTATGTACATTATTATTCTTTAGACACCTGTCAGTGCAACAAATAAATTAATTCATTTCAAGACAGACAATTTTACTACTGCAAGGTAAATGTACGTATAAAAACTATAATCGTTAATATGTAGAAGAAAGAAAAAAAGAGGTCCATGGCTTAATGTGCATCAAATGTGACAACTGAAGGATTGTGGGAGAAAAGCTTTAAAATATTTTGTTCCCCATGTCCACATTATCTCAAATTCTCTGTCACTTGCTCTTATCTGTAGTCTCCAACACAACATCTTCTTTCCCTCTGTGTTTTGAGAGGAGGAGGCAGAGCCATACTATATTTTTAGCTACACTTGCAGGACTTCACGATCATATTGGACAGCTGCTCCACCTGCAAGTAGAAAAAAACAGTGATGTGATCAATTATATATTGTTTTCACATAAAAAATGTTTTGCAAACATTTGAGCTGAAAGTGACTGCAGAATAGATACCTTGTGTTGCCTCCCCACATAGTAGATGATTGGCAGTGGCTCTAGTGTCTGTGGCGCACAGCAGGGCTGGGCAGAAGCTCCTGGGTTATGATGTTTGTACAGTGCCAGAATCTGTAGGCAAGATTTATGAGAATTTACTCACCAAGACAACATAGTCCAAAGCAAATGTAATACATAAGCACAACATTTCTAAGAATTTTCAGTGTGATTTTAGAAAAATCTTAATGAAAACTACAATACTTTACTTTTTAAAGACATTTTTGCACAAA